AAAACATATTGGATATCTTTGTCAAAAATTGATACAAGACATGATCAATTAAATAAATTTGTATTCTGAATAACTAAATCCTCTAAATTTACTTCATCAATGTATAAAACGAAACACATTTATTTAATATTGAATAGCAACAGCTTAATTTATGCTGATCTCTAGTCTCTAAGTCTTGAAGAGAGAAAACTTCTGCCTTATTTCCAATATTTTAAAATTTTGTTTTATCAATCTATGTGATAAAATGATTTATATTCGATAATGATGTTAAACTTTACATTCCTAATTAATTGAGTTTACAACTAATTCTAGTTTAATTTGTCATATTTCCCAGAATGCAATCATGGCAATTATTGAAAAAGAATTGAAAAAATCGCATAGGAGATCATAGAGATAAAATTATGTTATAAGGTGAGAAGTTTAACGAATTGTATTTTTTTCGAATAGAAATGATGGTAGTATGTTTTCGAACAACAACTTTATTGCATATAAACCAAATAATCATCGATTAAAAAAGCTAAAAATTATCGAATAGGAATGACAAAATTAGCGACTAGCAACCGATTGTTTTAAATATTAATGACATCGAATAGGCACGTACGACGGCGTATTCGTGCCATTATAACAATGTAGATTTAAAAAAAAAATCGTTTGAACGATTTTAAAAAAGGTTTGTACGATTTAACAAATTGTTTGTACAATTTAATAAATCGTTTGTACAATTTAATAAATTCTATGTACAATTTAATAAGTCGTTTGTAAAATTTAATAAATCGTTTGTACAATTTAATAAATCGTTTGTACAATTTTATAAGTCATTGGTATGATTTAATAAATTGTTTGTACAATTTAATAAATCGTTTATACAATTTGTTTATTAAATCTTTGTACAATTTGTTTATTAAATCGTTTGTACAATTTATTAAATAGTTTGTACAATTTGTTAAATCGTAAAAACTATTTTGATAAATCGTACAAACGTTTTCTTAAATCGTAAAAACGGCTTTTTAAATTGTTCAAACGATTTATAAAAAAAGCGTACAAACTATTTTGATAAATCGTATGATTTAACAAACAAATTGTACAAACGATTTATTTAATTGCACAAACGTTTTCTTAAATCGTTCAAACGATTAAAAAAAAAATTCTACATTGTTAAAATGGCACGCAGACGCCGTCGTACCTATTCGTTGTTTTGTGGGTTTTTTTTTAATAGATGCCATGGATTTTGGAAAGTATTTTCAAAAATAAAGATGTCATGCTTGAAGCAGTGGCGTAGCATCATTTTTGAAAGTGGGTGGGGGGGGGGGGGGGGGATTGGGGTGGGGCAGCCGGAGAAAACTTTTTTAAACTTTCCTGAAAAGTTGACAAGCAAAAAAAGGGGGAGGGGAGTTGAAAGTTGCCCAAAGTCGAAAATCCTATATTTCGTGGGTGGAGGGGGTGGGTGGGTGGGTGGGGTTTGGGGTAGAGGCTAACTTTTTTTCAGTGTCAACTACTTTCAGTACAAATTCTATTACTTCATTATCGACACATCACTTGAACTGGGGGTCCAACCAGGTTTACAGTTAACATTTAATTGCTATAGTAAAGGTAATGTTGAGAAAAAAAGGGGGCAGCCCCCCTGCCCTGCCCTCCCCCCCCCCCCCGTTGCTACGCCCCTGCAAAGATAAATGAAACCGTACACTGATCAAAATGTACATATATACACGGGGTGATACTGTATGTTTATTTCTATTATTCTTGAAAAGGGAAAAAATTGAAAACGAAATATTAATAAAGTGATACTAATAAATCCCGTTAAACAACTTCCCAGCTAAAAAAAATGTTCAAACTTTGAGATGGGGTCAATATTCAACAGGGTCAATTTTCAACTTGTTGACGTCATCAGGTGTAAGAAAAAAAATTATCAAGCTGTTGAAAAACCAGAAGTCTCTGTCGAGACTATAGCTCTACTGGTTTATACTTAAAACAAAGGAAGAGAAAAGTAGCAGTTGGGACTTGAAACTTTAAAACAGCAATAAATAGAAAAATGATCCTTGTCACTCATCAAAATAAAAACCGATGCACAGAATTATGTATCTTAGTATAGTCTTATCGAAATCGGATCAAAACTGTAGGAGGAGTAGCATTTTGAAAGAATTTCACAGAAATTTCTATTTTTAGTAACCATGGAAACACCGTTCATCGAAATCAAAAACCGATGCATAGAATTATGTATCTTAGTGTAGTCTACTTGTGTGCCAAGTTATATTGAAATCGGATCAAAACTGTAGGAGGAGTAGCATTTCGAAAGGAATTTCACAGAAATTTCTATTTTTAGTAACCACGGCAACACCGTTCATTGAAATCAAAAACCGATGCACAGAATTATGTATCTTAATGTAGTCTACTTGTGTGCCAGGTTATATTGAAATCGGATCAAAACTGTAGGAGGAGTAGCATTTTGAAAGAATTTCACAGAAATTTCTATTTTTAGTATCCACGGCAACACCGTTCATTGAAATCAAAAACCGATGCACAGAATTATGTATCTTAATGTAGTCTACTTGTGTGCCAAGTTATATTGAAATCGGATCAAAACTGTAGGAGTAGTAGCATTTTGAAAGAATTTTAAAGAAATTTCTATTTTTAGTAACCACGGCAACACTGTTCATCGAAATCAAAAACCGATGCACAGACTTATGTATCTTAGTGTAGTCTACTTGTGTGCCAAGTTATATTGAAATCGGATCAAAACTGTAGGAGGAGTAGCATTTCGAAAGGAATTTCACAAAAATTTTTATTTTTAGTAACCATGGCAACACCGTTCATCGAAATCAAAAACCGATGCACAGAATGATGTATCTTAGTGTAGTTTACTTGTGTGCCAAGTTATATTGAAATCGGACCCAAACTGTAGGAGGAGTAGCATTTTGAAAGAATTTCACAGAAATTTCTATTTTTAGTAACCACGGCAACACTGTTCATCGAAATCAAAAACCGATGCACAGAATTATGTATCTTAATATAGTCTACTTGTGTGCCAAGTTATATTGAAATCGAATCAAAACTGTAGGAGGAGTAGCATTTTGAAAGAATTTCACAGAAATTTCTATTTTTAGTAACCACGGCAACACTGTTCATCGAAATCAAAAACTGATGCACAGAATGAAGTATCTTAGTGTAGCCTACTTGTGTGCCAAGTTATATTGAAATCGGACCAAAACTGTAGGAGGAGTAGCATTTTGAAAAATTGTTTACAGACAGACAGACAGACAGACGGACGGACGACGGACGCATTACTATCGCATAAGCTCTGCTGGTCTCTGACCAGTAGAGCTAATGACCCCGGGTATAAATTCAACGACTTTTAGTCTCAATATTCAACGTTGAAAAATGACCCCGGTTCAATATTCAACGTTGAAAAATGACCCCCGGGTCAATTTTCAACTCGGGTCAATATTCAACGTTACACCTACCTTTAATTTATTTGGATTTGACAACAGAACAATATAGCCTACCTATTTTGTACCTATAAATTTTCAAATCAGCTGAATATTTAGATCCACCTAATACTAACAGAACATGTTTTTAATTTAAATTCATTTTCAGAAAGGTACAATTGATTTGAAGATACATGTAGTTATATTAGAACTGATGATGGATATAAATAGTTTTATACCGGCCAAAAATCAAAGTTATAAGTTTTCAAGATAATAATAAACCGGTATATACTATTTAATTATACCTAGGTATTGCATCTTTCTTCAAATTCTTACAGATTTGCTGTGCACATCATAGCTCACCTCAACGAAATGGATTATGTGAAATTTTAAAATACCGCGGTACATTATTTTAAATAATTAATCAGTAATGCACGGAAGATAATTCTTGCAAGTTTTATTGCAATAGGACTTCATGGTTTGAACTTTCGGATGCTGCAGTTTCAACAAGCGAACGCCAAATTAAATTATTATACCGCCTTGTTGACAGTTCTTAATGTTCGCGAGTGCTCGCTGTTGAACATGCCTCATGTTAATTAATGTTTTAGAGCTGGTTTGTTTTTTGGAGGCAGGTTAAAGTTTAGGTGTCAGGTTCAAGTTTTTTGAGCAGGTCTCGTTTGCAATTAACTGTAAACCCTATGTTTATCAAGCTTGCAAGGACGGTACATCTTTGAGTGATATCTGCCAGACTTGCTTCGGATGCTGGACCTGACCTACATTTTTTCCGGATGAGCGAGTTCTTTCTAGATCGACTGGAGTGTCCAAACTCCATGTACTACTACTGGCGGGCTTTAAGTTTCAGTGAATTGAGGTTCCAGTGAATAAAAATTTATTGATATATTTACATACAGTTTTTCGCGCTGGACCATTCCAAATTAATTATGTCCTAACTTGCACGGATGATACACCTAAGGATGTACACTACATGTAGCAGGCGTGCTTCGGATGCTGGATCTGACCTACATTTTCTGGATGTATGACCATGCAGGTTTAAATAGTGTTTGAAGCAAGTTCATTCTAAACTAACTTTCTGGATGCATGACCATGCAGGTTTAAATAGTGTTTGAAGCAGGTTCATTCTAAACTAACTATAAGCCTTAAGTCGACCCTACTTGCAGAGATGATAAACCTTTTTGACCTAAGGATGCACACCAGTACAAGACTACTTGTTCATTAATAAAACATCGTTATGTATTCATTATATCTATTGCTCGATTTGATTTCCTCAGCGAGAAATTTCTCCCGACTTCAAGAATATGTCAAAAAGGCACTTCAACATCATTTCAACATTAATTTGGATCACGAACTTCTCCAAAAGATTTTAATCAAGCAAGTTGAAAGCAAGTTTATATGATTCCAAACTTTTAAGTTTCATTCTTTATGATGTCAATTTCAAGTAGTCTTTTCTCTTATTATCTTGAGAATGGTTGAAAAGTCATATAAAACTGGGACTGGTGCTGCACATTTTAAAAAAAAGACCTTTATTTTTAACAAAACCACTGTTAAAGAAAAATCCTGCAATTTTCCAATTTTTTTAATTACTCAAATACAAATCAAGAACAGAAAAGGTTGCTTATAGCCGGGAGCTTCAGCAGACAGTATCAGGAAGCCAAAGTAGAGAACACTCAGCGGTCAATTTCACAATCTCCCTGGGTGTCCAGCTACACGGCCTTAATGGTGATGATGATTACTGATGATGAAGATGAGTGAATGTCTAGGTCTACTGTCCCCAGTGTGAAATGCCACGCGACATGTGAAGCCTGAACAGATGACTGGCCACGCTTCACATTTATCTTCTTCCTCTCTTTTTCCTCCTCTTCTTCTTCTCCTTCATTAATTAATGGGGTTTATAGTCACATGTCTTTCGCACCAAGTCCTTCCCTGTTCCTGATTTTAACTTGAAATGTGAAGGGGAGGGCTGTCTACTTTGATCTGAAAGATAAGAGCAATCACAGTATTGAAATAATTCATCAAATGCTGAACTTTGACAAATGCTGAACTTTGACAAATGCTGAACAGAAACATAATTTAGAAGACACATTGAATTTCAGTCTATGCAAAAGACATTAGACTGTAAGAAATGTAATATGTTCTTGGCCTTAGGTATGACTTGTCTCTTTTTTTTTTTAAAGACCTGAATATATCTCCTACTTTTGAGCTTTATTATTTTCATGCAGAGTTCATTAAAAAAAATTGCTCAAATCAAAATATGCGAATAAATATGGTTAAAAATCGAATATGCATGGAGCTGCAGCCTCAACAGTATATTGCAACTTCTTTGGTTTTGCATTTTCATGTTTCACTTTTTTTTTTACATTAGGTTTTTTGGTCCAGGAAAATTTGGTTCAGTCCCGTGTGTTCAAAAATTACACAGGACAAAACACCCTGTGTTGTCAAAAAAAACTTTCACATAGACTGCATATTCAGAATCAAAGCAGTGCTTTTTATGCAATACAAACAACTATTCACATTTAAATTTATATAATTATGTGAGAGGGTTAAATATTGGATCAAATGCGATACACAGAATGAAATCTTATAGTGTAGCAAGAACCTTCGATTTATGACACCGACTTTTGTCACTCATTTTGGGTATTGTATCTTGTATTTTTAGCTTTCTACCCTTAAGAATGATATCCAATTATTAAGCATGCATTTCACAACTATTTTTGATACTTTAATTACTTTTCAACCACTCCTTTGTGCTTTTGGAATGTTGGTTTAACAAATTTCCAGTTTGTCGTCCATGTTGGAGATCATGCATTAAAATATCTTTCAAGAACATACACCATACACTTGCCCAAAATACTGTAAACCAACTTTTATTTGCGTCATCTTTCTTATGCTATTCATCAGTTTGAAATCAATCTGCGAAGATTAATTTTCGCAACTGAATAACCATTCATTACCAATGTTAAGCAAAATGAATGGTTCACAGCGATAAATAATCGCAAATTAAAGTTGGGTGCAAAACTCATGGATATTTCTCGCATGGGAATAAAAGTTGGTTTACAGTAGGAGAAAAAAATACGGCAAATTACAGGATACAATTTCTAAAGCAAAAAAATCACAAGATACAAGAAATATAATACCCGGAGTGAGCGACGAACAATCAAAGATTTTTACTATGTTTAGATCTGTAGCTCTCTGCTTTAAGGTAGGACCAAACAGATAGGTCAAATTTTTCCTCAAATTCAATTTTTCTGAAACTTTGACATTTTGTTCTTGGATACAAAATCTCTCTGTATATATGATATGAAAGAAATTCAACCGCACATTTTTTGCCCACATAGTCTGAAATATGGCCTATCAGACCCCTGTAAGAAGATTGTGAAATCAGACATTCTACTTGAGAATAAGCCTTATTTTAGAATTTTCTATTGATCTATTACAAATTTGTGTGATACTTTTCATAAAGACAACCTTTTTGTTACTTTAAATCAGTAAGTCATATTGATACTGGAAAATTTGGGTAAAATATTAAGTAAAATAGAACATACATTGTTTCAGAAACTGAAAATTCTCATAAATTCTGTAAATATCCGACAGTTTAAGTTTTCTTAACAGAAAATGTATAATTCAATTTTTACAAAAAATCAACAGAATTATTCAAATGGGTCCTAGAATAAAATGTGTAAAAATAGAGAAAATTGAACCGATGGTTTCAGATATTTTGGCTATTAAAAAAAAAATCAATGGCTAAAAAACTTAAAGATTCAGTAGATGACGTCAAAATACTTGACCTTTGACCTCTTGATATGACCTTGACCTTTGTAGTACATAAAGAATATAGAGACTCCTTATATACGTGTCCAAATATCACCCCTCTATTAATTATGGAACAAAAGTAGCACTGCATTTTATAACAGACTGTTACATGCTTGTTTATTGCACTTAGACAGCGTAAACACATTCCAAAATGTAAGCTCACAAGTGACCAATATATAGGTTTCTCTGATTTTTTCACAAAATATAACGCAAATATGCCAAAACTTATTATTTTTCTTTCAGGGATCATTCGTTGTTGTCAATATAGTAATATTATTCTTTTTTCCTCCAGTACTATTTAAGAAATGGGTTAAAATAGAATCCACGGGTGTTTTGTCCTACCTTAACTGTCTGAATTTTCTCAAGCAGAGAGGTACAGTTCTGCAGCTATATCATTTTAACATTTGAGTGTTATGTCTAGTGCTGAAATGATCCGATTGCTTCACAAATTCCACTGTCCTTACGTCAACACTTTTAACAATTGTCAGACGTGTTAAAACCTTCGAAGAAAGAAGACTTCAACCCAAGAAATATTGTCAAGACGTCTGGGACATACCTTGCCCTCATCTTTCTCCTTTTGCGCTTTAACCTCCTCATGCGCTTCTTCCTCCACTGCAAAAACAAAACACATACATAGACTCAACACTTCCCTTCGCCAAATTGTCATAAACAAATTCGAAACATACTATATTTCTAAAGCCACTTTAGTTTGTTGTCACACAAAAATAACCATGATTGTGTGGCATTAGCCATGTTACAGAGAAACCTAAGCATGTTTTCTGACTGCAGTTATGTACTTAAATATACAATATTTGAACGTACCTTTGCTCTCATCTTGATCAGAAATATCTAAAAATAATAAAATTATAATAAATTAAAACTGAATGTTAATGATGGTGTAGAATAATGAATGATTTATTTGGATTTTCTCCACTTTTTCTTGAAACACTCCTCACCTGTTCAAGACGGAAGTTAACAAGGGAGATTAGCTTGGAAGAAAAGTTTGATATTTAGAATTATTATGCTTACAAATAAAAATTTAATTTCTTTACCAGTGTATGTAAAAATTGAATATTTCAAAATAAAATGATAAAGTTGGATTTCAAAAATGCATCCTTTTAAAAAAAGAAAACTTTCTCTTTTTTGGCTTAGAGACTGTAATGCCACAAACATGGCGGGCAACGAAGTTCCGTTCACTGGTTCTTTAACTTCACAAGGAACTATGCAGCAAACTCTACCTCTACAGAATGCCCCTAAATCTGATGTATCCGATAAACAAACACTTTTGGCAGTTTTACAGTTTTTAAAGAAAAATAATTTAAAGGTAAGGAAATATCTTAAAGTTTCACGAACCCTAAATGTCAATGACACCACAACACACTGAACTTGGTCGGTTGATAATCTTAATTATCTTTAAAAAAAACCCAACAATTTTGTCTACTTACTTTTAAAAGTACACTTTAATTGACAGGGAACAGAAGAGCTGTTAAAGAGAGAAGCTTCGATTAAAGATGATGATGTACGTCCACAAACAACCTCACAATCAGAAACTGATGTTTCACATGCTTTGGCAGCTTACAAAAGGTGATCAGTGTTACACAGGGTTTGACTTAGTCCGAAATATCTGACGTTTTCCAGGCTTTTTTTACTATTTTGATATTTTACATGCCAGGTTTCCTGGCATGTAAATCAAAATTCTTGGCATGTAAAATATCAAAATCAGAAAAAAAGAACAATGCCTTTAGGAAAATACATTGAAAAGATTTATCTCCCCACTTGTTATACAGGGTTTGAATATGCACGAAATGATGACAAATCTTGTCAGTGTGATAAAATCTTTTCAACTGATGGTATATTTTATAAATGAACAATAAAAACTATATTGGTAAATTTTTTAAATCTTGTACTATTGATAGCTTGTGACTTTGAAATTTAATTCATTTTGCAAGTATCTTAAATCAACAGCAATCCCCTAATGGTGCAAATATATTTCTTGCATGTGGGCGGCTACAGGCAAAATAAATTGTATTTACATTTTACATAGCAATTGACTGATAATTTAAGCCAAAATCTGTGCAGGAGTGAATCACTACTGCACTTGCACCATCACAGAGGTTTTAAGCCAATACATATATAGCACTAGCAGCAATAATATAGGCCTCTCCAAAAAAAAAAGAACTGCAATTTCACAGCATCTCCGTAATGGTGCAAATACATTTTTTTGAATACAGGTGACTCAAGGCAAAATAAATTTTTACATTTTACATAGCAATTAACTGATAATTTAAGCCAATATCCGTGCGGAAGTGAATCACTACTGCACTTGCACCATTAGAGATTCAAGGTTTCTTCAACAAGTAACAGAGAGATCGCTAAGGAAAATTATCAAAATGGAGCTTAACATTTAGTGTGCGATTAAAATATAAATTTTGGACACAATTATATGCTTTTTATTGAAAAAATATTATCAAAAATCGAGTTTTTAAAATAACTCAGAATTCACCATGGATCGGACATTTTTTAAAGCGGTATATGATAAATAAATCATACCTTTATCACACTGCTTTAAAATCGTTGATGTGGATAAACTTTTACCTTTTATTTAAGAAATAACCCTCAACTTAAATTTAATTGGCGATATCGTTGCACAAATGTAGAACAATTCAAAATACCTCACTCTGCCTTATAAATGTTTTAAAATGCTTTTAATGCGGTAATTCACGCCTTTTTCTCATGGTTTATCATACTCTGGTTTGTAGAAATAAAGTGAGTCAAATTCTAGACGTCATGTATCGATAATTTGTATTTTAACTGAAAATATGGAGTTTTTATTTTCTATTTCTGCAAAAAACAGCTGTCAGTTGGGTTTAATAATGCAAATTTAGGGATCTTACCTTTGCATCGGAAAGTGTCCAATGCATTTAATTTGTGTCCTCTGTACAGAGAAATGAACATACTAGTAAAAACCAGCTCTAAAAAGAATTATACGAACAATGAAGTGAAATTTCTTTAGAATTTATGTAAAATTACCGATCTTTGACAAAATTCACCAAAGTATGACTCGTTCCGTTAAAGTCAAATTTAAAGAACGATAACTCTAAAAATTGCAAAATCATAAATTCCTGGTTATTCCCCTTTTGATGATGTAAAATATGACGTAACTTCAAAAATATCGGAATGTTTTATGCAAATCCTATGCATCAAATTTTTAAAACAAAACATTTCCAGGTGTGCATGAAAAATGTGCCAAATGATGCCCAAATTTTAAGTTGAAAGAAAGTTTATTGCCTAAAGTTGTCCGAAGCAAGGTATGTGTCCGATGCATGGTGAACTCACCCTACCCCTCTCCCCTAAAAAATAAAAAAAAGGAGAGGGCTACATAATTTCAGCTAATATAGTTGGCTTTTGGCATACAATTTCACCCTATGAAATAACACCTGTAATACCGGGATGAAATGTTATTATTTCAGTGAAATTTCTCCATCCCCTATAATTTTTGGATATATCTGCTTAAGTCTGTGTTAAGTCATATCAAAATTCAGAAAGCCCAATTTTTTAAAGCTTTGATAAATAAATCACTCTTAACAAGCCACTGTTGAAAAGTTCCTTTCTAGAGTGTATTCAATAATTCGCAAATCGCCAATTTTCCTGGGTTAACTGACCTGACCAGTCAGATAAAAGGTATGATGTAGAGTAAGCGTTACCAAAAGTTGCGTGGCAGAAGGTTAGAGGATGTCAAAACTCATTTAAAAGTAGGGAACACATTTATTAGATTGTTATGGTGAAAAGATGTGCCTTCGGACTTTGCAACAGTGATAGTCGGTATCCAGGTCAGACCCCTATGAAAAATGCTATTTTACATGTAGTAACAAAACAGGATGGGGTTTGATTGCAAATTTGCAATCAAAAACTTTCAACATTTTCTCTGTGTACAAAGACCATTGCTGGGTAAATAATAATGTTAGATTATAATGGACTGCTTTAAAACCCATTTTTCCAATGCTGAAGATGTCCATTTTGCAAGCCAATAATGTTAAGCTTGACAATTTTAATAGCCATGACCCATTTATTTTGCTTTGTATTTGTAGAGAATATTTCCTTTGTTGTGAAGATTAATAATAGTTGGTTTACATTATAAATATCTCCTTACAGTGCTGATGACCCTAGCCGCTTTGCAGACTATTACACAGATCTGAAAACATTCATAGAATCCTGCTTAGATGCACATAAGGTGAGATACAAAATTTAAATTTTGGAATTTTACGAAAGAAATTGTTCAATTGTTTATTTTTTTTATTCAATTATTATAATATGCATATATTTTTATTAATTTTTTTGATTAATTAAAAAAACAAATATTGGAAAAGTATTAATATTTGAATTATTTAAACCCTGCCATTAAATATTGTACGTCTGTGATATTAAAAGGTGGAACTCTCAATGATTCTGTATCCCGTGTTCATCCACATGTACCTTGAGATGGTATACAATGAACATGAATCTTATGGTATGTATAGAATTTTTCTACAGTGTTTTTGAGAATTTAAATTTTCAAATTTTCCTAGCCCCGGGCGCTATTGTAATTATTTTGGTATTCTCTTTATAATATTTAATGTCATATTTTAACTTTTAAAAAAAATTTCGAAAAAAAAATAAAGACAAGGAACCACTAAAATAATGTCTAACTTTACTTAAAGTGAAGATAATCCACCAAATTATGCTAAATTATTCATTTTCCACTGAAAAATTGGATAATAGACAAGATTCATTTTCACTTTCTTCAATTTTTGATATGATTCTTGTTGATTTTAATCACTGTAAATTTCACAATTGTAAAAATTCAATTCAAAGCGGTATTTAATGTTAATCTCATATTTTTAAGTGATGAAGTATGAGTTTTGTTAGCATCCTAAATTATCTTTCAGAAAATATTACAATAAAAAAAAATAATTAAAAGCATTGTTAATATAGATAATGAAATTTAAAAAAAAAGAAATAAGTACTGCTTTAGAAGAAAATCTTTAATGTGATAAATCATATCACAATAAACTTATATTCCTAAGTAATGATATGTCAGGTTATGTACATGTTTGTATTATTGGCAGCTATTCTGTTCTTCCGGAGATTTTCTAAGGAGCAAGAGGACTTCTACCAGGAAGACTTAAGGAAGTTATCCACAGTAACAAAAAAAGAACACATGAAAGGAAACGAGCTCATGGAAAGCTTTAAGTAAGTTTGCCACCATAGGAATCTGTTTGCACTAGTGCACAATGTCTGTGTTAGGCCTCACACATTTTGTTTTCTATTTGAATTTGTATTTTACAATATTTGCAACAGAAATGTAACCTATATGGAAATGTAAGACACAAAACCTCTGACATTGGCATCTTTAACACAGATACATATACAAGCACATTGAATTAAAATGATTTTTCAAACTGAGATGTCCCAAACATTTTTTCCCCATACATTTTATCTTTCTGTCATTTCTATTTGAGATATATGTCAATGTTTTATAATATCAAATCTTTTTTAGAGCTAGCAAATTTGTAATGAAGATGTCCAGAGATTCCTACAACCACCTGAAGAGATACCTACAGGAAAATAAAATGAAGCCATTGTTAAACATCATCCAAGAACATCTATTCATTGATGGTAATTGTAAACCCATTCCTGCATAAAGATCTCATGCATGGATTTTTGTCAACCAGAATTTGAGTTAAATCTGAAATTTTTACTATTCAAAAGGGAAAAATTTCGTAAACATTTATATAGTTTTTGATATACAATGTATTTCTGGTGGAAATAACCATGTTGATTAAGTTGTAAAATTAAATTTAAAGTTTGCTTAATTACTAATGATGGTATTGAGGGAAAAAAAATTAAATCTGAGCTTTTAATCCACTTTCAGTATTTGATGGAGTACCCAGAACAAAACAACAGATTGAGGCCACAAGTGGAGCAATGTTAGGAGAGAGTGAAAGAGATGGTTAGCATTCTGCTGAGATTTCATAGAAAATACACAAAATAAATTGGAATTTTTACTGTTAAAAGTTGTAGTAAAATGTATATGTACATTACTTAAGGAAAGCTGGGTAAATCTTTACAAGCTTATACTGGTTATGTTTTCCAGCCAATAAAGTGAAGGTATTTTATGGTCTTCTGAAGGAGCCGGACATTAACATGCCAATAGAAGATGATGATGAACCGACAGAAGGAGATGACAAACCAAAGGTAGGCATGACTTTATAATGTATAGCAGCCTTTGGGAAAAACAACAAACCAGGTACATCACTTAGAGGTTGCAGGTATTGAAATGAAATTTGGTAACATTGCAACTATTTTTTTTGGGTGTGAAAAATTTTACCTCATGGACATAGAAAAATTTCAATATTTGGGGGAGGGGGCAGAAGTATTTTACAAACATCACTTGTTTCTGAAAATTTTCTCTCAAATCATATCATGCATAATAGCAACACTTAGAAAATGAAAGAATTTTACTTTTCATATTATATAATGTTAGGTACATATAGTGCTCAGCACTATTGTACATGTATGTAATGAAAGCTCATTTGCCTCTTATTCAATACAATGTATTTGCACTAAATTTAATTATTCAGCATTTGTTGTTTGCAGAAAAAGAAGCCAAAGAAAGACCCCCTTATGATGAAGAAGTCCAAGAATGATCCTCATGCTCCGGCACTCAACAGAATTCCACTTCCTGAACAGTAAGTCTTGAACAAAATTAAAAATGATGTCTTATTTAGCTATGCAATGAAAAATCCTTTATTCATAAACTTTCAACTGTATTGCAACAATTGCACCCAATCACCCTTAAAAATGCATAATTAAAAGATTTTATAAAGCTTTGTATGTTTTTTTTTACAGGAAAGACCAGGATAAGATGGAGAGAATTATTGCCTACCGGGAGGCCCTGAAGAGAGTGAAGGTCGGCCGAGACAATCTCCCTACAATATGTTTCTACACACTTCTCAATACTTACCAAGGGTGAGTGAAGACAATTCTTAATTTTCCTTGGGCAGAGTATGTTTCTACACACAGCTTGTTCTTCTGGTTGAATATCTTACCAAGGGTAAGCAAAAATGGAATGATAAATTAGGCACTGGACAGGCAGCTGCTATACACACTTTATAGCCCATTGAGGTGATACATTTCTTAGCATGTTCTGTTGGTATGAAAATTGAAAGGGATTTTATTTAAACCATTCTGTTTATACAGGTAAAATATGGAATGATACATGTATCAGGCCTACTTCTGCAGGCAGCTGATGTACACGTACACACTGAGGTGATACATAGGCATGGACATGTACAACTATTAATATTTACATTTCCAATAAATTTCCCCTATGATTCTTTACAAAATAAATGCAGTATATTTTCTCATGAACTACATTAGGTATGTATCACGAATAAGCATGAATATCTCCATTGTTACATCATAATACCGCACTTGACATAAAAAAATATAGTGCACACTGTTTTGTTTTAAAAATGACAGTTGAACGGCGTAAATTTATGGCAAGTCATAAGAAAAATAATGTAAATATAAGAAATGAATTTAATTTTTGAAGATGCATGAGGTATATGAACTACAACGCTTCACGCCGGCATATTTATCATGAAGCGCTAACGCGCTGTGTGAAATATGCTGTTATGAAAGTGAATTTTTTATTGTATAACCTCACATGAATCTTGTTTATTACAAAAATCAAATTCATTTCCTAAATGTATTTTCTGCTATAATGAAAAATGAGAGGAACATTTTGTCTATCCCTTCCTTTTATCCACAAGGGAAATGTTTAATACATTAAGGAATGTCATTTGATTCACTGTCCATATATCTGTTTTTGTGTTTTCTAGGGTCACCTCCATTGACATATCAGAGGACTCCAGCTTACTTTGTGTAGGATTTGCCGATTCCACCATTAGAGTTTTCACCATCTCTGGCCAAAAACTCAGGGGTATGAAGACCGCAGCCGAGCTAGATAGCATAGACAGGGATGCAGGTTTGTAAAGTTGCAAAAATAAAATTGTCAATGCAATATTCCATTTTCACTTTGTCAATATTGCCTTTATGGTTCTAGTATTATTGAAAGAGAATAAACTACTAGTATAAATTGTGACTCAGATCAGGCATGTCAGTGAAAAGAAAAGTCCCTCTTCAGGACAACATCATTTTAATGATAGAAGATTGTGTAGTGGTCCATTACTGTGTCCAGATTATATTGAAAGTGAAGCTAAGACTACAGCATTACACCTGACCCCTTGTAAAGGCCAGTATTAATTTGATTGTTGTTCACTTTTAGATGATGTATTGGAGAGAATGATGGATGACAGAACAGCCTCGGACTACAAACTCCTAACAGGTCACAGCGGACCCGTGTACGCCGCTCGATTTAGCCGGGACAGGAAGTACCTGGTGTCATGTTCAGAAGACGGCACAGGTCTGTTCTGTAACACAGTGCATGTACTGCACTTCTCTTATTGTACCTCACTGTCAAATGATATGTACCTTAATTGTTTAGAGTGTCTGAAAAGAGCAGATGTTATGAAGTTGAAATTTTTATTGTACATTTGTACATGTTTTACTTCTGGGAGCTCTTGAGTAATGACTAAATCAAGCAAACTTTAAGATAATTTGAATACTTTATATGAGGAAATTTTTGCCCTCAGTTTATTTTTGCCCATTTTACACTCTTTATAGATCTGATTTAAAACAGGGCAAAAATTCATAGTAATTTTTTTTAAACACAACTGTGTTTGAGTTAATGGGCAAAATTGTTTGCACGTGTGACGGGCATTAAGTGCATGGGGAAAAATAGCCCTGTATAAACTATGCATCAATTTTCTGGTCTTGTTGCATGGCTTCTATAAGACTTAAGACTGGTATCAGATGATCATATTAAGGATATATTTTATTGAAACTTTTTGTAATATTATAATTTTGAATGGGAGTAAGAATAAGGAATTAAAAAGGATACCCATATTTACTCCCTGCATTCTACATTTATTTAATACTGTATTATATGATTTTTTATAGTGAGGCTGTGGAGTTTGCTGACATGGACAAACTTGGTTTGTTACAAGGGACATAACCACCCAGTCTGGGATGTAGAATTTAGGCAAGTGTATATGTACATGTATTTGAAATATTTTGAACATTTTGTAAACATGTTAAATGAGCCCTGGTTCCTTAATAAAAAATATCCATGTTAATCGGTCCTTGTCACACAAATATAAGGAAGGGGAAATAACACTAGTATTTGTTGGCTTAACAATTGATATATATTGTACATGTATTTCTTATATACTGTAGAAGTACTTTTTTCCAGGGGATCATAATTCCGAGGAATCTCATTTTCTGTTTAATCCGTGGGTAGAAAATTATACGCGGATTTCTTAGACTGTCACTTAATGCCTTACATTTATATTAAGTATGCTTGGACAAATTTCCGCGGAAAATTTGTGAGAGCGTACGTAACATACGTATGTATCTTTTATTAATACCATGCGGAAAAAGTACTTCTACAGTACTTCAAAGAAAGATGTATTGGAATCCATGTCTATATATACGTCATGTATTAAAATTTTTAAGGTACCATGGCTTACAAAGTTTGATAAGTTGCAATGCTTCCTTGATAATGCATATGATATATATTTTGACATTTTACTTGCAGTCCGTACGGTCACTATTTTGTATCAGTTGGACATGACAGGACAGCCAGACTGTGGGCTACTGACCACCACGTACCAATCAGGATATTCTCAGGACATCTCTCAGACATGGATGTAAGGTCCTAGCTACTCAGTTTGCATAGTTTGATGATTGCATAATTTTTTTAAAAATAAGATTTAAATAAATTTTATTTTACTATTTTTTCAAGATTAAGATGAATTTGGAAACATTTTAGCATTCGTTTCATTTGTTTTTCAGTGTGTGAAGTTTCATCCCAATTCCAATTACATTGCCACAGGATCCAATGACCGTTTTATAAGACTCTGGGACATTCTTAATGGGAACTGTGTCAGGGTGTTCACAGGGCATAAAGTAGGGGAATAAAAACATTGCTAATTATTTACAGTATATGTATTTTTATGAAATACATGTACATGCATGAAATATATTAGTTATTACATGTTCATGTATATATACTTAAATGTACTTATTTAAAAATATTTATCTGAAAACTAGAAATAAACAGATGATTTATTTTATTTCAGGGGTCAGTACAAACACTTTGTTTTTCACCAGAAGGAAGGTTTTTAGCCTCTTCAGGTAAAGATCTGTCACTTAAACTGACTTTGTTTATAATTGAAGAGTTATAATTAAAAAAAAAGCAAGCTGAAATATACAACCATTAAACTTATGCTCAGTGTATGTTAATGTGATTGATGTCTTTAGGTGTGGACTGTATAGTATTGTTATGGGATATTGCCACTGGGGGACTGCTGGCTCAGATGAAAGGACATACAGAAACTGTGTACACTCTGTGCTTCAGTCGAGATGGAGGGGTTCTAGCATCAGGTTAGTCCACATATTAAGTATATAAAGTAATATATAAGAAACTTGAATGTTTCTGTTTGGATCGCTTTATCTTTATTGTAGGGCTAAATGACAACTATGTTTTTTCTAATTTAGAGGGAGATTTCTTGTGGTACAAAAATACATAAACTCAAGTATCTTATATACATGTATTTAGATGTGTTGGATAAATATTTCAAATTTATTTTGAAAGTAAAAAAAGAAATTGTGATAATTTGCATTGTGGGTAATTTTAAAACTGATGGTGACATTGTTGTGATATAGTTTGTTTTGCTTTTTAAAGGTGGTTTAGACAACAGTGTTAAGTTGTGGGACGTACTGAAAGTGTTACAAGAGGTGGACACTGAAGCAGACACCAGCATTCCAAGTTCTGTCCATGTGTAAGTTATGATAAGACCATAGAACACGTACTTCATAATATGGCATGTATAAATTCTATGGTACTACACACAAATTAAACTGTTGCATGATATTTTACTGTTATAACATAACACATTATATTTGGCTATGTTTATTATAATATTTTATAAATTTTTTTGTGATCAAGCCTTTTAGCAAAACAAAGCAGCATCCGCTAAAATCTCACACAAATAAAAGTTGTACATAGCTAAAAGCATTTTGAATAAAGGTTTTCATGTAATCATTAACACACAATTCAAAAAGCGCTAAAATCACTCTGTCTGTCGCCAACTTGTTGAAAATTTTCTGTTTTTTTCAATTTACGCCAAATTCAAATTTGGTATGGTAGTTCGCAAATATATTATATTTACAGTATTTTACCAGTTATAATGGCAAAAGAGCAGTAACACAGTTTAATTTTTTTTTTTTTTTTGCTTAACCAGTTTGGTTTATTATAATATTAATTATAAATTTTTTTGTGATCAAGCCTAGTTTAGATCAGTTGTTTATTGACACAGAGACTTTAAATATAACTTTTTATAATTTTTTTTTGTTAAATAGTTATGATTTCATTGAATTCTAATAACAAGAAATAGATTAAAGAAGATTTTTTGATTTACTTTTTTCACTTTATGTTAATTCAACAATATTATTAATTTTTAGGATAGTTGTATAAAAACCCCATTCTATCAATTTTCTTACACAGGAATAAAAGTTGGTTTTAGTAGGCTTTTCAGTCACTTTAAGATTAATGAAAACCTTTGTCTGCAACTGCTGTTTGTTTGAAGTTTAAAGGTCATCCTTCATTTACATTGAAGGCTGGCATTTTATATAACACAAGCTTCATATTTTAAATATACATTCAATTTTAAGTTGTTCTTTACCCTAATGTAAATACAAGGATATTATCATTTTTGAACCTCTTAAAAAAAATTTCACAATACCTTTAATTCTGTGATAAATTGTAAATATCTGTGATAAATTGTAAATATGAACTTTAATATTTGATATGAAATATAAAGAATTCATTATTCATCATTCATTCATGATTTGAATATTTGAATTAATATCATGTATTTTGATTGGTAGGAATGACAGTCCAGGACTTTTGATTGGTTCTTGGCCAACAAAAGCCACTCCTGTTCTCTGTGTTCACTTCACTCGCAAGAACCTGATGATAGCCAGTGGTCCAGCCGCTTTGATGGAGGACAAGTCACCCCACAAAACTTGAAATTCTTTTAAAAATTTTGGGGCCATTTTCTAACAGAAACAATGTTGTAAACTGAAAATGAAGTCTGTGGCATGCCGTATGCCATCTCAAACAAGCTGTGTGAAACATAACTGGAAAATTGATAACAGATGACTGTTGCAATGTAGACAGATACTTTGAAAAAAAAGTTGGATGCAGGAAACCTGTTTACACGGTTTCAGGAATGCAAGGAGGAAGTGTTGTAACTGAAATAGTGCTATGAACCTACAAAGTGTTCAAACATTTATAATACACTGTACATGTATGTTTATACATTTTCATGTAGGAGCTGTTATGCCTGGGTTTAATTAATCCATATTGTTGCTGGCAATGATTGTCGTTGGTACTGTGTATTTTAAAAACTATGAAGACCATGCGGAATAAACCATATCAGGAAAAAAAATCTTTGTTGTAGCATTTTATCTCAAAGTTCACTTTATTTCAGCAAGTACTTGACTACTTGCAAAGTAAATTTTTTTTAATTATGAAATTTTCATTTTTTTTACTTTTCAACAAAACCATTAGACCTATTTCAAGCAAACTTGCGACAAAGCATTGATGAATGAAGGAGAATCAATTTATTGAAATGAAGGCCCACATCCTCTTTTAAGGGGAAATAATGAGGAATCTGCGAAAAATATGATGGCATCTCTCAGAAACCTTCTTGTCAAGAATCACTAGGCCAGAAAAGATGAAAGTTGTGTGTGTTTTGTTTACATCATGAACCATTGAAGATGGGAGAGTAGAGAGAGCTACTTTGAGCTATCAAATTTTAGGAATAATATAAGGGGAAAAATATAATTTCTGATAAAGAACAGCAAAGCCATGATTTTTTTTAAGTACTCATCAGCAGATAGTGTAGATTCAAGTTTGTTGAAATTGGGACTTAAGGGGATAGGTCTGGGCTACTTTAAGTGATCAGTTTTGTGTAGGAGTATGGGGATGGGTTATCTCGTCTGTTGCAGACAAGATCTGTCAATGGAGTAAGATGCATGAAAGGGACATTACTTGGATTTTTAAATTTACAAATACATATATACACACTCAGTACATCTTCAGTTCAATATTTTGCTATGCTGAAAAGTTGATTATATTGTGTTCTTTTAATAAGAAATAAATTGTCCACAAAATTATATATATAATAGATTTATTACAAAAATTAATTATATAAATAATATAAATGTATACAGTTAAAACCACTCCAATCTAAAGAAATACATGTACATTCATGAAAGTGGTAAGACCCCCTCCCTCCCTTCACAAGTGTATAGTAGTCCTAATGAACACAGAGTAAAAAGGCTTTAAGATAGCTACTAATAAATGATCAACTTCTTGTTCAACAAAATTTCTCGGATGCAAATATGTTCAGTTTTAATGATAGTATTACTTTTAATAAATACATGTATATTGTACACGTAATTTTCTTCATCACAGAAAAATGATAGTAGTTAAAGTGCTTACAATTCTAACTTTATAAATGCCCACTTCAAATGATAGACCAATGTGGAAAAGTCTTCTTTAAATGAAACTGAAGATTATGTACTATATTATGACTAGAAGAATTTCACTCCTTCATTTCCATCAAAGTTCATGAGTTCTGCTTTCCCTTGATCTTGTAGACTCTGTAGGGCTCTGAGTAATAACCACTTTTCCAGTCCATGAAATTCTACATATAGTGCAAATAAAATATCATTTTTCTTTTAACTTTATTTTTTATGATAAAGTGCGTTACTTAGTATATTACAGGTATTAGACATTCAGGTTAAGAAAAAAGCAAAGTACAGGCAATTTGCTAGCAACTGAATAAGACAGAAATGAAGGCGCTAACACATTTGAATTTATTATTGAGTCAGCGATATAAATAGCTCACCTGTTCCCTCTGAATCCTCCCCTTCAGATAATTCATACAGTGTACATACGGAGTTCTGTAAACTCTTGGATGTTACCTGTCAACAAAAACAATATCTTTAATTACACCTGATTAGATCATTATTCTATAAATATGTTAAAATAAATTTTAAAAATCAATTTTTGAAATAACTGAATTAAAAGAATATAACTGATAGGCCCCTGGTTATACTTACCCAGCTATAGATTAGTTTCCCCCATTCCTCTGGAGTCCTCCACATTATTAGTCCCTGCTTCTTTACTTTAGGATCCGTCCATTCTATATGACCTGCAAAATACTCTAGTTTATACATCTCACAACAACTACACATAAATCATTTATAGTTTACCAATTCAACATAATTACAATTCAACATAATTATTCAGATTCTATATTTTATGTAAAATCTGTGTGTACACAAACTCTAATAAAATTAAACTTTCAAAACTGTACCTTGTTTCCTCAACTCTTCTAATACAGTATGAATACCATCAAGAGGTAATTTGCCTTCAGTTGGTTAAGAAAAAAACTTCTTTCTCACAAAAATGATATATATTTGAATGACAAATTGTTATCACTCTTTTTTCTGTCATCATAAATTTAAATGGAAAAAGAGAGAATGTCAAATTGCTATCACCCTTTTTTCTGTCATCATAAATTAAAATAGAAAAAGATAGCACATGCCATTAGATCTAAAACTTTAAATATAGGTCCCCATTATGAAGATCAAGAGGTATATACCACTTTTGCCTCAAAAACTGTAACCTTGCATAACTTTTGAATAACATAAAAAATTTTTTAAGACAAAACCTTTCTTTCAATGGATATGAATATATTTGACCTCTTGGCTATGGAGTTTGACCCACTTTTGCCAAAAAAAAATAAAATAAAATAAAAACCCAGGCTATAACTTAATTGTTTACAATTAATAGTGTGAAGGGTTACATACTTCACATGTGTATTCATTGTGACAAGACCTTTCTTTGGGTTTATATATTTTTGACCTTTTGACCTTGACCTTAGAGGTTGACTCTCTTTAAAAAAAACTTTAATCTTGGCCTTAACTTTTGAACAATTATAACTATTCCTTTTATACTTTACAGGTGTATTCCTTGTAACAACAAGACCTTCCTTCGTATACCAACAATTTTGACCTTGAAAGAACTATATGCGGTATATTGCATATGTTTGCCCCCACAAAAGTCAAATTTTGAAAACTTCCTGAAATGAGCTGAATTCAATAAATTGTACGAGAAATATAAGTTAACAGAAAATATTATAGTTCCAGAGCAGTGTATTCACAATTTCTGTTTTTATGACGTCACAAACTAGTCCGATTTTATATCCTTTTTCAGAAAGAGGACAAAATGGACAAAATTTCAACAATTTAAGCTTTAGAATTTATGGAGCGCATGTGTGTTCAGGAACAATATTGACATATTTCATTGATATTATCATTCTACACATTATATCAACATATTAATCCTGAACACACATGCGCTCGGTGACTTTTATTTAAAATATCGACGAAATATGTACATTTTTCTGCAAAATTCATAAAAAACTGAAATTTACGTCATATTTGTGACGTCATTACGTACATATGACGTCATTACTTATGAAATTATTCAGTGCTTTGAAGTCAGCATATACTCCCCTGTTTAAGGACTTAATTAAATATTACTCCATCAAAGTTTGATTTTGAGGGGCAAATGTTGGTTAATACCGCATATAGTTCTTTAATCGATCTTTAAGAGACTGAACCTTGGCCACAGCTTTTGAACAGTTGGTGCTAAGGCTTATTTATTTCAATTACATATTATTTTGTCATGTGACAAGTCCTTTCACTGGTTATCATTGATTTTGACCTTTTGATATTGAAGTTATGAAACACTAAACCTTAGCTGAACTTTCAACAGTTGTTTCTTGAGCCTTCATATTTTACAGGAACATTCATTGACACAAGTCCTTTCTTTGGAAAATATTTTTGATCTTTTGACCTTGGAGTTTTATTTGCATTTCAAAAACTTTAACCATTGTCATAGGGTGTCATACAGGACACCAGTGTTTTACGAACACATCTTGCTTAAAACTTTTATAAACACTTTTATTTTGTTACCCCAAAGCCAAATAATAAAACTTTGCAATTATCAGTTTCACTGAAAAAGGATACGATTAATTTTTTTGTTATAAAACAGAGGTGATGACTGAATCTCGGTAATGTCTATGCTGTAGGATTTGTTTTTTCTGTGATAGTCCAAAATTAATGCACACCATGCTTCCAACTGCTTTTTCCTTGTGTCAAGATTGGGTTGAATTCTGAAAAACAAAAACAACAGTATTCAACAAATGAAAAACTCAGATTTCATTCATCATCAATATTGTAAAGCAGGGTCAAGGATTGTTAAGGTAGTTGCATAAAAGATCTCTTCTGAAATGTCAGATTAGCATTAGTCCCAAACATCAGATGTTTTCCAGGCTTATTTTCAATGATTTTGATATATTCTTGGTTCATTCTTTTTTTTAAAGATATTTAGGACTAGATTAGCATAACCTATTACTATATTTGTAAGCTTGCAAGAATAGCAACAAAAGTTCAACAAAAAATAAAGTCTACAATTGGTAAAGAAAACATTATTCATTATAATTAGGACAGTTCCAATTTTGGTTTGGTAATGCAACTTACATACAATGTCATGTGATGTCAAAGTTTAAACACACCAAATGTCAACTCACATACAGATACAATGTCATGTGATGTCAGAGTTTAGACGCTCCAAATGTCAACTCATACAGATACAATGTCATGTGATGTCAGAGTTTAGAACACCAAATGTCAAACATACAGTTAAATATATTTTTTTCTAATTTTAATATAAAATATTAACGCCCGGGGTGTTTCTAGTATGCCTGGGTGCATACAAATTGAAAACAGTACACTGAAAAGGTTAATCTGAGATTCCTCTGACTCTAACCCCTACTTTTTATATTGTGACGTGATCCCCTACACACGTAGCTGCAGAACTGTAGCTCTGTACTTGAGAAAATTCGGACAGATCCAAGCGTTGTAAAAACCTTTGATTTTCTTTTCTGATTTTTTTGCTGCTCACTTCAGGTATTATTTCTTGTACAATATGCTTTCTCTGGCTTTTAGAATGGTATCCAATAATTAATCATATAATTGAACTCTTATTTTGGATACTTTATTTTCCTTTTAATGGTAACGAAACAGTCCTACAATAGCTTTGTAATGTCCGTTTAAAAGAGTCCCATTTCGACGTCTGTAACCATAAACAGCCTTTTGTTAACGACTTAACGTTGAAAAGTAAATGACTTGTAATATCAGAAATTAAAGTTAAATGTTAGCTTATTATTATAGAAACAGATTTTAAAGCTCGAAAATGTATAAAATATAAGAAATAATACCCTAAGTGAGCGACAAAAAAATCAGCGATGTACTTAAGCAAGGAGATACAGTTCTGCAGCTACTGCATACGTGACATGTCACAACATAAAAAGCAGTAGAGTCAGAGGATTGTGAAAAGGCATCTGCGTTCACCCTAACGTTCGCACCGTCAACATATTATCCTTTTTAATTTAACAACTTGCAAAATCAATGTCTTTGATTCTATTTTATTTTAGCAAACACTGATACATAAAACCTTTGTCAACTCTATTATTTTTTGTGTAACTTCTCTACTGAAACACGTCCAGGTAAATCACTATATTTAGCTATATTATAGCTTAATTTACCTATATAGCTTTATTTACCTATATAATATAGCTTTATTTAGCTATTTTAGAATAAGTTTCTGTTTTATGAAAAGCAGACAAAAAGTCGCATGAAAATTATGGCTGATATTTTTTAAAAAAAAGTTTGATAATGTAACGTTTTCGGGTTCGTTTGTGGAATTCGGCTGTTCTATCTGAACAATTAAAGAATTAATCAATTTTTTCAATCACAAATTTAAATTAGAAATATGTACAATACACCCTTTGTTTCTCGGGAGCGCGTGCCTTTCAAGGACTGAAGCGCATCCGCTTCTTAAATTCAGTCAAACCAGTGTATGAAGGTACTATATATAATTTTATATTACCAACCAAATTAAGTCTCAAAAGTCTATTTCAGACACGTAAGACTTAATAAAGTATCCCTTTCAGTACCTACCACTTTTGACTCTTCTGTAGACGTCTCTTCTACACAGCCGTACATAACAGACTGACCAAATCAACCCGACTGTCTCCTTATTTATACCTACTTCAGGTCACATGACCTACGGAGAACCGAAGGGAACAAAGGAACAGGAAGTCAGCACAATGTAACTACCGAGAAACGAAGGGATAATTTGATCTTGATTCATCTCTGCTTCAATAAAAACAACCTTGGGCATAGATAGTAAAAACATTGCCTCTTTTAAACACTTTTTAACCAAAAAATGCATCTCTATTGTTTGGATAGCTGTCCCTCACTGGAAGTGCGATGAGGCATGACTAAGTGTGATTGCCTTGCATTGTGCTGAATTATTACCAATCAATGATCTTGTGTTGACCAAAACTGCTTTTCTTTGTTAAAGTAGCCGCTAAATCACAGCTTAACTGTTATACATAGCCCCAAAACTTTTAGATCTTTGATTGCAATTGCACAAAAGGAGAAACATTCTTAGAAGTGGGTTTTTGGTGCATTGTTTTAGTCCATTTTAAAAGTTAAAGTTGAAAACTAATACTGCCTCATTATGCGACTTTTTATCTGCTTTTCATAAAACAGAAATGTACTCTGTAATAGCTAAATAAAGCTATATTATATAGGTAAATAAAGCTATCTATATAGGTAGATTTAGCTATAGGCCTATAGCTAAATATAGTGATTTTCCTGGACCTGTGGGACTTCCTGCTTTACAGGTAAATCTAACTTTCCATCTGTCAATTTTTACCGATATTTGGCATAACTAGTGTGGAATAATGTAGAAAACGACGTTATAAGCTAACAAAGTTTTAATTTAACGCTAAACTTACGTAAAAAAGGGTGGGAAATTGTACTGCCATGGCCATTCAAAATCAGCCATTGCAAGGAAAACCGAAAGTAGGAAACTAAATTTTAAACCAACATTTCCGGAATACGCTGGAAGCGCATTCATGAACACCTCACATCTGCTAATCATGAAAAAATAGTTGAACCAATGGTAGAATGGATAGATTATAATAAAAAACAAAATAGTTTAAGACAGTGGTCAAATTCACGAAAAATCACTTTTTAAAAGTAAAGTTTGGTTCGATTTCTAAAAGTACACAGGATAAATTAAAGACCGTGCATTGTTGGACACTACGACCACAGGGGCTTGTGTAGAGAAAATAAATCATTTTAAAAAATTAGTACCTCGGAGAAAAAAAACACAAGCTTGTACAAGCCCCTGTGCTACGACATGCATGCATATCTCATTGGCGTCGGAAGCAAATTGAAAGTGGGGGGGGGGGGGGGGGCTAAGTGTAAAAAAAAAAAAATTTGTACCTTCAAAAAACCTGACAAGCAAAAAAAAAGCAGACACGAAAATCCTGTTTCGGGGGTGGGGGCATTTTTAACCTATACTAAGACGTATCTGTGGAAAGTGGGGGGGGGGCTAAACCTACAAAGATATATTCAATGTCTATACTAAGTATATATTTGGAAAAAAAGTGGAGGGGGGGCTGAGCCCCCCGGTTCCGACACCTATGTATCTCTTCGAAAGAAAGGAAATCTAAAATGTAAATTTTCATTCACATTTTAAAATCTCTAAAAATTTTCATATCTTTTGATTTATCATCTACACTTTTTAAAATTACAATAAAAAAAAAAATAAATAGAATGAATTCTTAATTTACATGGAAGTACATTGATTTATCCTAAAGTTGATACAAGTTTATAAAATGATGATTGTTTTTGATTAACGGCGTGCAAAATAACGCGAGTGGGTGATGTTAACACAGCATCATTAGGCGTTCAAACTTCCGCCAAGAAGTCACCGGCTAGAGCAGAAGGGCTCACGTGTTCGTGATCAAAGCGTGCCACTTTGGAAATGGGGAACTCGGTTGTGGTCAGAAAACTCGGAGTGAAGTCCCGTAAGCGGTCTCTTGTGCACATGTGGCAAGACTCCGGCAACTTCTGCATCTCGATTCATCTCTAGCCGTCTTGACAACGTCTTTCCATTAGGTCAAGGTGAATTCAGACGAGAGAGTGAGGTTGGTGGTGCGCGACCCTACTTCACTTAAATCAAAGTTTCAGCGCAAGTCATATCTCATCTCGTAACACCTCAAAGTCCTGTGGCGATTGGCAAATGACGAAACAGCAGGTGTGGATACACTGGAAGCTGTAGTTTTGACCCTACACACAGGCGGCTCAAGACACTGGTCGTCAGCTCTTTGACCGAGACAGCAGAGGCTCCCGGCAACATTTTGAGTGACTGAGCAGCCCTCTTAAGGAATGTACTACTCCCCCCCCTTAGCCTGGGAAAGGGGCTAGAAAAGGTGCCCTAAACATTGCTTGTCTCAATCTATCTGGGCCAATTTACCGCTAAGTACTGGCACTGAGGGATCCCCATATCATGCGGTCGAAATGCAAGAAACACAAAAAGACCAAACATTCACCGATTACAGTTGAAGCATGGAACGTTCGAACACTGTTGGACAAATGTGGCTCAAACAAACCAGAAAGAGGAACAACTCTCTTGGCAAAGAAGCTATCCAGATACAATGTGGACATTGCTGCGCTGAGTCTTGCTGAAGAAACAACGAGGCCATAGACAAACTGCTTGAAGAAAAGAACAGACTCTTAAAGCAAAACCTTTCGAACAAGACCCTATCAAATACAGCTGTTCTTCACCAAATGAAGCAGAGTGTGCAGACCGAACTAAGGCATATGAAAGACAGATGGTTTAGCCAAAAGGCCGAAGAAATTGAGGGTTATGCTGACACCCACGTTTCTAAATGCTTTTATCCAGCCATAAGAATGCAGTGTGGACCTCAGTCTGCTGGTACATCACCACTGCTCTCAGCTGATAGAACCAAACTTATTACTGATAAGCCTGGTATAATTGACAGGTGGGCAGAGCATTTCAATTCGGTTCTAAACAGGCCATCTTCAATCAGCAACGATGCCATAAATCGTCCACCTCAGAATCCCAATCGACACTGCACTTGACGACCCTCCATCTGCCACTGAGACTCTGAAAGTAATAAAGCAAATGTCAACAGGCAAAGTTCCCGGAGCTGACGCTATTCCAGGCGAGATTTATAAATCTGCCGGACCACTGATGATTCAGAAATTGACCCAACTTTTCCAGTCAATG